TTTTTCTCCCCGTCCTCCTTTTATTTCCCCCTTTTAAACACAATCACTGGATCTGGGATCGTGTGTCTGTCTCTGTTTTTGGAGTGTTTGCCTGCTTATTGCTAGTGGAAGCTCCCAGCCTCGATCAAACCCGAATCAATGCCTAATTTCTCAGCATCCCCCTCTCTCTTCCTCTCCACCCCCCACCCCCCCTTCCCTTCACTTATTTCTTTGCCTTCAGCCCTCAAAATGTCGACGATATGTGTGTTCGGTATCAAAACTGACCGAGTTTCGGAGTCCAAGATGAATGATGAAAGGGGAGAAATTGTTCCCGAATTGTCTGTGTCGCTTTGCGAGCGGCTCTCGGGACCCCACCGCCCCGGAGAGATGCTGCCTACCTCTGCTGAAATTTCCCTCTCCTTTTTCTTAGCCCTTACTTTGAACCCTACCCGTTAGCCTGTATGCGAATAAAAGGAATGAACTGAGAAAGAAACACCATTCATTGTTGAATTCAAGCACTGTAAAAAAAAAAAAGAGAATTACTGAAATGCAGCCACACACAGCCCTCAAGATGATTTCCCTTTCCTAGAAAGTAGCTCCTAACCTCAGATTTCCCCCCCTCTTTCCTGGTGTTATCCCCCCCCCCCCCGCCCCCCCCCATTTGACCACATCTTTCTTCGATTCGGCTTGGGAAAAAAAAAGGGGGAAAGAAATGCATGTGCTGATTTGATGGAGTCCTTTAAACAACGGGCATGCGAGAGCTGTATTCATCCTGAAACATTAACCCTATTTTCTGAATTTCCTTCCTTTCAACTAGCTGTTCGTACTTTACTGTCCTGGATCCCCGATTTAAACATCCGCATTTCCAGGAGGTTGTTAGATACATCTGTATTCTAATTTAATTTCATTTAATTTCGGTATTGTACTTAAAATAACAATAAATAAACCCGAGAACTTGTATTTTCCTTTGCAGAGAGTTTTTTTTTATTTATTCTTCTCTAGAAATTTCATTGAGATGTCTCTGTACTTTGTTTGTCAGTTATCTTTGTTCCTTTTAAATAAAGGGCTTTTAAATGGACTTATTGCTCCCAGCGTGGGTTCTTCTCTCTAAATGTTAGAAAATTGTGCCATCTACCCGCTATTCTAAGTACTGTCACACTCAGAGACCTCCAAGGACCTTCCAGCCCCAACTTCAATACAACTGTGTCAAAGGGTGCCTAGTAGCGAGAGGAGAAAGGTTTGCGTGGATTTTACAGATTTCCAGCCTGAATCGCTCTCTGAAGCGCCAAAATGATCTGCAAAGATGCAGTTTGGCTTCCTTTGATGCCTGGTTCCCCGGCCACAGCCCCAGCCTTTGCAGGAACTAATGAAGCCTCCCTGCCTCAGCTCCATTGCACTTTCTCTCCTGTGCATACTTTTCCTGCTAATTTTAGCCACGAAAAGTGTGGGTGTGCAGGGAAAGGGGGGAGGAGGGAGGCACTGAGTCTTCTGTCGTATGTTTTTTTTAAGAGAAATAGTCAGATATTTATAGCCATGGCATCTAACGATGAAAATATATTGTTGTTAATTGAGGGGAGGGGGGGAAGGTTCCCTTTTTGAGGTTGGATCTGGCTGATTAGCGAGGGATGCTGCTGGCTGGGTTTCCAAGTGAGGGATGTGGAAAACAGAAATGTATATAAACTTTACAGGCCTTTTTATCTCCACCCGAATACTTTGCACAGTAACCCAGTTCTATGCTCTTAGCTGGACTTGGACGTCAGTGGTCAAGTTTAAAACAAGATTTCGAAACCTTTCTTGTTGGTGGGTTAGTAGAAATAGGTGGGAGGGTGTCTTTATTTTATAGATCATTTTCCTCCTTCTTTTTCTTTTATCCCTAAAAAACCTAAAATCCGAAATGCCTTCTAAATCACTTAAAACAGATTAACAGTTTCCAAGTTTATGGTGTAGTTACATGTCTTCGGAATTATTTTTGCACCCCTTAGGAGTATGAGGAGAGAATTGAGAGTGTCGGCTGAGTATTTATGGGTGGGGGGGGAAAGAACAGTGCTATGCTTTATGACTTTTATGACTTGTTTCACACTGTTCGAGAAATGGAGTTTTAAGCAACATACAATTAAAACTATATTACTCTTTGGATAAATTCCAAGAAACTCCAGAATCAATTAGTTTAGATCCTTGGATACTTGTTGCAAAAAATATATATATCTATAATATCAACGTGTAAGAACGGCCAGCCAAGGACAGCACTGCTCCAGATGTAATTTTTAAGTCCCTGCTATATAGACTAGACAGGCTGCACAGACTTGCTTCTCCAATTTCCCATTCTGCATTTATTCCTGTCAGAACATCCAAGGCACCATATTTTTCTTTCCTTTTTGCCACCGTCCGTTCCCTTTCGGGCTTTTGGGGCAGCTTCGCGACTTGATATTTTTCTATTTATTAATTCACCCCCTTCCCCCCCTCCCCCCCTTTGATTCTTCCCAGTGTCCTTTTAACCATTCCGGTGATTCCTTCCATTTGTCAGGTACTAGGTTTAAAACTTCAACCTTCGCTACCCACAAACTACAGCCCCGCAGCCACTCTTAATTCCCGGGTTTAAAGATAATCCTAATTTTGAAAGCGGCTTCACCAGCCACTCTTTTCCCTTGATCACAAACAGTTTGGTCATCTGAAATGCGATCTTTTTCCCCTCCCCATTTATTTGCCTCCCTTGTCCCAGAACCTTTTTCACAGCACATTTCTCAGGGGTGCGTTTCGCTGTGGGACTGGCTGTGGCTCAGCTCAGGGCATCCCAAATAATTCCACCCCCCTCCCTGTCTTCCTTCGGAGATCATTGTTTGTCCCTATTCTTTGCAACGTTTATTTTGCCGGACAAGAAAGTCGTCCCCGTTGCAGATGTCACGGAGTCCACCCTCAGGTTTTCTTTCCTACATAATCTAATCTCAGCCAACAAGTTTCTGTTTTAACTCCTGCAACATTACTAATTAACGACCCCTGGAAATTAAGTGTCCAGTGACCTAAAATTTCATCCTCTCGGCTGTCAGATAATAATAATAATAATAATCTGGGAGAAGCATATGTGAAATATCTTGCGGGAAAAGCCTTAAAAGAGACATTTGACATCCACACTAGTTTTATATCGATGCTGACTGAGGCTCAAAGGAGAAGGGAGAGGAAGGGCAGCCATCCAGCAAAGTTTGCTGGACTTTATTCAGCTCAAACTCGATCTTTCCCTCCCTGAAGCCAGCGGCGGACTTGTACAATAGGAGGCAGGTCAGAGCACATCACACTGCCCATATTGTCTCCTGGAACATGGGGAGAGCCCTGCCACCTTCTTCAGCTGTCTTTGGAAGCAAAATAATAATTTTTATTATGCTCCACGCCTGATAGACACCCCCTTCCCTCTCGTATTTTGTATTTCCTATTCCCTTTATAGGAGGATGATTCATTTTGCACTGTCGCTATTTCCAATTTTGTGGGTTTACTAATGTCTTACTTAAAAAAAACCCTCACACTGTTCCTACCCAAAGGGCTCATTAGCCCTCACTGGCTGCTTTTAAGACAGCAGCTCGCTCTCCTCCAGCTGAATTTGTCCAACCCCTTCATCTTCTCATGTTTTATTTCGAGGTTTCACTAAAAGCATCCCATCCCGGAGAGGTTGGCTTCGTCCCTCCGGCCCCCCTGGCCTGCTGCTTTCCCCCCCCACCATCGGTCCAAGCCAGGCTGCTGGAAGCCGGCAGCCCCTAGGAACCGGCTGGACTGCCCCCGCGCATCCCCTGCCCTGGCCCCGCAGCCTTTCCGGGGCAGCCCCTGCCGGAGCCCCGCGTCGCGGAGCCCGGGAACATCTCCCGTTCCTATCCGTCACACGCTCTGGCGAGAGCATCAGTGCTGTTATTATTGTTGTTCTTGCTCTTTTTCCTAAAAGAGATATTCAAACGGGTCCCCGTTTGCCCTCGCCACCTGTGCGTTTCGGAGCGATTATCTCACATCTTCTCCCACCGAAGTACGCGATACCCTAGCCCGGGCCAGGCACTGATCTCCCGGCGATGTAGCAAACGGCCGGGTTAATTTTCCCTCATTACCATTTGCATAGCCCAGGCTCCACACGCAGGACTGAGCCCCGGCTGCTGCCGGGTGTGTGCGGCTCCGGGCGGGCCCACGGCCACGCACATGGACACACAGACACACGGACGCGCACATTCGGACACCCCGAATCCTTGCACCCTACTTCCAGCACCCCTAGGAGCTTGGGGTGCGTTCAGTGCCTTTCTCTCCCGTGTCACCTTGCTTGACCCCCTTCTCTTTGTATAGATTTGGGGGTTTCTTTGTGTTTTATTATTTTTTGAGCGTTGTTCTGCCCGCTATAAATTAGAAGGATTTTTTTTTCTTTGCTCACGCCGTTCACTTCTTAATCTTTTTTTTCTTTTTTTTTTTTTTTTTTTTCCTTGAGCCTTTTCATTCACCGGTTGCAAAAGAAAAGGGGGTTGGTCAACACCAAAATGGCAAAGTTCAGCTTGGGGGAAAAGAGAAAAAAAAAAGAGGAAAAAAAAAGAAAGAAAAAGAAAAAAACCTCCAGCTACCTACAAAGGGGCTCAGGGCTTTGTAATGGCAGAAAGAAACAAAAATGAAAAGAAAATTGCAGTTGAGGCTAAAGTGTGAGAGTGTGTTTGTGTGTATGTATATCTGTGTGTATTTTTAAAGGTTTCTTTGAACTGCCTTTGTGCTGACTAGGCAAAGCTCCTTGCCAATGCTAGTCACGGTTTAAGGAACTTTGAGTTAACCTCTTATATCGAATGAATCTTTTCATTTGGAAACCAATAAATCTCAATCTCTAGCCACCTTTTGTAGAACAGGCTGGGGCTTACCAAGGCAAGGCTGAAGCTTATAATAAAGAAGAGATAAAGTTTGCCAAAGTTTGGTGTTGGGTTGTTTGAGGGTTTGTTGTTGTTGTTTTTTTTGGCTTTGGGTTTTGTTGGTTTTTTTTTTTTTTTTTTTTTTTTCCTTCTTCCCCTTCTTCTGTTGTAAATAAAAGTTTTGGAGATGGCAGCATTTGGAAGCAATCCGGAGAAGGACTCGGATCTATGCATTGTTTCACAGTAAGCCTATTTACTTAAATAGAGTCTTCAGGGATTCAAACACGAAAATGATTTATAGTTTTCCAACAAGTCATTATTTTGGTCAGTTGTTGAGGGTGGGGTTGGGGAAGAGGAGGGGGGTCCATGCAGTCTGATAATCAATGTGTGCCTCTGGAAAGTGAAAAGGGAGGGGTAGAGAGGGGAGGGTTCTGCAGATAAGTAGGGTTAACACTATAAACATTGCAGACAATTGAGTTTTCCCATCTGAGTGGGACTTGGGGAGAAAAGGGGTCTTCACATTTATCAGGAATTGCGGGGCGGGGGGGTGGTGGTGAATGAGAGGGCGGTGGAAGAAAATACATTTCTCGAATCAGTTTGGAGTCACTCCTTTGGTTTCTGACTTGCACTTTTGCATATTGGGTATTCTTTCTTTGAAGTACTTTGAAATCCAGCGTTGTGTCTAATCTTTGGATGGGTGATGTGACCACAAGAATCGATGTTTTGATTTATTTTTTCAGGACTTATCTCCTGTCTAGTCTCCCTCGCTCGCCCTCTCTCTGATTATGCCATATTTATACGTGTGTATACATTATATACATATTATACGTATAATGCCCCCGTAGACATAAAAAAATCATTTGCAGCTTCCCTTCCAAGGAGGCGCAGTTTACTTCTCAACCCCTCTCTTTATCCTGTTTTATTTCAAGACGCTGTCTTCTTGCCGTCTCCAAATTGTTCCCATCCAGGAGTTATTAATTACTCTTACAAGGCGGGAGATTCTTAACTAATAACAAAGTTGTAAATTACCACCTTCCCTCAAATATTTCTCATTTGTCAACCCTGATTGATTTGATTAATATTCCACCGGCTGAGATCATTTCAAGTTGCACTATGTAATCAGCAGAGCTTCTGTTTTCGGAGAAGGTTTCTTTCTAACCCTTAAGCTGAAGTGTATTTTGCATTGGCTCCAGAGGAGGTAAACGTGGACCTATGGCTTAAAGGACTTTAAGGAACAGGGGCTTAATACGGTGTCGGGAAATAAAAGGAACTAAGCGTGTCTGTTTGGTTAAAAAAAAAAAAAAAAAAGGAAAAGAAAAAAAAAAAGAAAGAAAAGGAAAAACAAGGAAAGAAAATCAGAAAGGAAAAAGAAACGAATGATATAAACCCTTGCATAAGCTTGGAGGAAAACCCGGGTTTCAGCTCTGCCTGAACTCTCCCACAGTCCCTTCTTGCCTGACATCCAGACTGTCACATCGCCCGGAATAAACACCCAGCACCTCGATTTATGCTTTGCTTGTGGCCTCAGACACACCGAAATAATAATAATAGCGCGTAAATTACACTCACCTTCCCCCTCCCCCCTTGAAATGGTAGACAATAAACTTGGCTTCAGCCCCTCTCCCTCCACCGCCACTGGGTTTCTGGTTCAAAACCCATCATATTGGCTTAATTACGGGACTGTAAATAACAGTAAATCCTCTGCTTTTAAGGAAAAAAAAATTAAAGAGAGTCATCTGGGTGAGCTTCCTGCTCAGTGCCAGAGCGGAACCTAAGTGCACCGCTGCGCAGCCGCGTAGCCCGCGCCTACCGACATGTATGTGGGCTATAAGGTGGAAATCATAGTGTATGTATATATACATGCATATGTGTGTGCATATATATATATATATATATACACCCTGCCAGCTCGGGCACCCGACCCCTGCTGCTCCCCTCGCAAACCATCCCCAGCCGCTCCCTCCGCCACCACTCGAGTTTTAATCTTAATTATATTAAGTGGAGTAGCGGGCTTGCCATGGGATTGAACATGATGCATGACGGCTGCCCCTTAACCGATCGATTGCGAATATCGCCTTTCTCCTCTATATCGATATTCGCAATACACCTTATCTGCGGCCGGGGAAGGGGGGGGGGGGGGGGGAAGCGCTGGAGCTGGTGAGGTGTTTATTGTTATTGTTATTATTATATTTTATTGTGGAAATGTAAAAATGAGAGACCAGAGTGAAATAACATTCCGCCCAGTCACCTGCAATTCAATATGCACACAAGAGACGCCGATGTATATGAGACGATTTTAATTATGATTAGAAGACACACTCTGAGCAAGAAAAGAGATTTGGAGGGAGGGGAGGGAGGGGAGTTGGAGGAGCATTAATGAAATCTTTCCCCGCGATACTAAAAGAAACAAGTGGTTGATACAACGGAGGGGATTTGTCACCCAGCTCCAAAGGGGGGTGGGTGATCGGATCGGAGCATCAGTCTTCCCCCCCACACACATCTTTTGAAGCACATGATATGCCATGATGTCTGTCTGACAGGCAGAGCCTCACACCACGCCTTTGCCGGGCTCATCCACGCCGGTGGTACCGGTGCAGCCATCACCCCGTCCCCGCTTCACCCCCCCCCCGCGTCTCCCTGCTCCCGGGCGCGGAGCGGCGGCGGCGGCAGCTCCGAGTAGCGCCGGGCTTGGGCCTGTAGCAGATTGTATTTGTGCACATGAAACCTTTTGTCTCGGGCGTAGATCGCCGGCCTTTTCAAACGCGGCCCAGAAACAGTTCAGGGTCACTGGCAATTTCCAGCCCCGCACGCAGGAGCTGGGGAGCGGAAGGGGGGGACAACAACATAGGCGAAAGGTGGCCCTTGGCCAGCGGTCACTTTTGGAGGTGGTGGAGGTGCGGGGCGGCTCAGGGAGGAGCTCGGGCAGGACCCCCCCTTCCCCCGGGTCTGCAGCCCGCATAACCCCCTCGCCGCTGCTGGGCAATAGAGGCTATTTTTCTCAGGATGTGACTTCCAAGTAGCATTATCTGTAGGAGTGTGAATCTGTTCTCGTTATGTTTGTCCTCTTCGGTATTTCTACAGGCTCTTCTTTCCCTCCCCCCTCCTTTCTTCCTCCCCCCCCCCCCCTTTTGGGTATTTTTTTTTTTCGGTATAAATTAACTCCGACTGAAACCACCAGATTGTTCCGAGGAGACTACCTCCCTAATGACTTCATCTCCAAAAGTTGACTGACACTCTAGCGAACTGCCAACACCTGTTTCCCAGCACCCAGACTCCAGAACCCACCAGACCTCGTAAATTTAGCTTCTCCCTCCTTTCCTCCCCCTCCTTCTCCCTTAATAGATGACGTGAATATCTAAAGGGAAAGGGGGAGGGGGAGATGGAACTAGGTCACATTTGAAAGTTTTTTATTTTTCATCTCTTCTAAGCGAAATCTGGAGATAAAAGGGCCGGACACCTCCTGCCTCTGCCCGTGCCTGCGGGGTGCCCTGGGCCGGTGGCAGCCCAGGGGTCGGGCTCAAGGTTAGGGTCTGTCCGCTGGTCTTGCATGGGCAGGCTTAGGTACAAAGCTCAGCCCTGACAGGCAGGTCTCCGGGGCTGTAACCACGACCCCAAACCTTTTCCTTCCCCCGGTGTCTTTTCCCGAGGATGTTCGAGATCTCGGCCTCTATCGTCCCTCCCGCTCCAGGGTCCTAGGGGCCTTCGGCACCCCATGGCGCCTCCCCAGCCTCGCTGCAGCGATGGTGCCAGGCCGGGCCTGGGGACACGGATGGGAACGGGCAGAGGCAGCGCTGGGGGGGGGGGAGAGGGGGCAGCCCTGGGATGGGAGGAGGATGAGGATGGCAGCGGGGGTCTCACCCAGAGCCTGCGGGGGGGATGTACGCAGCTCCAGTCTGTGGGGATAGGGGCAGAGAAGGTCGCAATGCCCGGTTTCCCCGTTCGGCACTGCTCGGCACCCCGCGACCCACATCACTCCCCGCACGAGTTTCGGAGGTTCGCTTTCGGGATGAAAAAAAAGAAAACGAGAGCAAAGTGCCTTGTCAAAGGGACAAAATCGTTTCCAGCTGCGGCCTCAGCCTTGCCGGAGAGCCCGCTCAGAGAACGGGCCTGGCCGGGCGCCTGGAGGTCGGCCAGGAACGGGCACCCGCAGCCTCGCTCTGCTCCAGGGCGGCCGCCCCCGGGGCCGGGGCTGATCCAGATCCCCGTTATCTCCCCTTACTCATCATACAGAGGGCTCTGTCCCCTCCTTTGGCTTTATATCCCTCTTCCCCAAGCTCCCACTCTGCCTTGGGGAGCCTTCGTGGCCGGGCCTAGAGCCCAGCTCAGGAGTAGGGCGACGAAAGCCCCGCAGTGCCCTGCAGCATCTCGGCGGGATGATCCTTGATCCCTGCATCATCTCCCCTTCCCATCTCCCTCCCCATCGCTGCAGGGGGGCTGCACACCCGGGAGGAAGCAGCCCGCTGCCGGGAGCACGCAGGGTGCGGGTTCTGTGTGTCCTGGGGAGAGATTCAGGGGGCTCTGGGTTAAGGTGACTTTGCAGCCGTCTCCATCCTGAGTGGAAAGCCCCGGCTCTTGGAGGATCTAATTCCCCCTCCCTTTCATATAAAGTTGGAAGTTGTCTTCTCTAGAAAAGAACCTCCTAGAAATTAATAGGCTGCAAACATAATTAACAGGTGGAATATGCAAAACGTTTGCGGTGTTTAAAAGGCTCATGGCAGATCCGCGTGTGTGTGCGAGATACCGAGATGTTGCAAGTGCTGGATATTAATGGGCAGGTTTTACGTATCCTAAAAAAAAAAAAAAAAAAAAAAAAAAAGAAACAAGAAAAGAAACCAGGTTTTCTTTCTTTCACTCCTCGCTCTCCCTCTCTCTAATCCAGGAATCATTAGCAACCCCCTCTGGCTACATGTTTTGCATCAGTGAAACATTATGACATAGTTGTAATACAAACTCCGCTGACTTGCTCTGCATCTTGTGGTAGGAAGTGCAATAGCAATAAAAGCATTAGGAAAAAAAAAGAAAAAAAAAGAAAAAGAGAAAAAAGACCCCGAGCATGAAGTTGTCTACCTGAAATACCCCCTTTTTAACCCCCAAAAACCGGGGAAGGGGGGGAAAGGAGTCGGACGGGCAAGGGGGAAATGAGGCAACTTCTTAGCGGGATGCGCTGCCCGCACAGGGGGAATTTCTTAGCGATCTTTTCTCCTTCCTGCCTTTCCCCCCTTTTTTCTTTCCCCCTAATTCGG